TGGGTGTCTGCCTTTATCACTTTCTGCCATATTGGCCTGTGATCCGGACTGTCATTGAGTCACCTCCTAGGATCTGCTTCTTGCCTCCTTTCCTGTTCCGCTGCTGGGGTTACAGTCATATGCTGCCATGTCCAGTTTTTATAGGGTGCTAGGGATTTTCTCAGTCCTCTTGCTTACACAGCAAGTACGCTTACGTACTGAACCTCTTCCCTCATTTCCAAAGACATACCTTGTTTTATGTTTGTCATTGAGGTTATTGACAAATTGTGTCCAGATATTTATGACAGTGTCTTATTTTCCAGAAAAATTTGTGCTTTTCTATATAAAAGCTACAATTGTTACTGTTTTGATCTCCAAGAATGTGTTTATTCTTTTGTAACATAAATATATTATTTAGTATTTTACAAGATATGTGTGCTGGCTAGTTTTATGTGACTTGATATAAGCTAGAGTCATTTTGGAAGAGGGAATCTCAATTGAGAAAATGTCTTCACAAGTTTGCCTTAGGTCAAGCCTGTTATGCTTTCTCTTAATTGATGTGGGAAGACCTAGTTCACGGTAGGCAGTACCATCCCTGGCCTGGTTTTCCTGGCTGCTATAAAAAAGCAGGCTGAGCATGAGGAGCAAGCCAGTAAGCATCATCCTTCCATGGCCTGTTCATCGGCTGCTGCCTCCAGGTTCCTCCTGTGTTTGAGTTCCTGCTCTTACCACCCTCAGTGGTGTACTGTGATGTGGAACTGTAAGCTAAAATAAACCCTTTCCTTCCTAAGTTGCTTTTATTCTTTGTGTTTTGTTATAGCTATAGAAATCCTAAGACAATACTTAAATGTTCATCACATATTAAAACACTTCATCCTGATCATAAGAAGTTAAGATAGTTGTATTCATTCCTTTTCTTGTTGTTGTGACCAAGTGTCAAGAAGCACCTTAAGAGAGGAGGGCTTCTTTTGGTTCATGGTTTGAGATGTTCATGGCAGGAAAGGCATGGCTCCAGCTGTGGCCAGTTTCTTGTTCTCCAGAGCCTTCTCTTCTCTCAATTACAACTTTAAAGACAACCTGCTTTAACATAGGCTGCTTGCAACATGCAGAAGAATGAAATTAGATATTTTTCACTGTATAATCATCTCTCACTGTATAAAAATAAATTCAAATGAGATCAAGGGTCTAATTTAAAACCTGAGATGGTCGGGGCATGGAGGTGCACACCTTTAATCTCAGTCCTGAGAAGACGGAGGCAGGTGGATCTCAATGAGTTTGAGACCAGCCTTGTCTACATAGAGAGTTCCAGTCTGGCCAGAGGAACACAATGAGACCCCCTTTCAGGAAACAAAACAAAACAAAAACAAAAAACCAAAAAAACCGAAAAACAAACAAACAAACAAAAAAATACCAACAAAAAATTCAAACAGGAAATGGTGCTACTGATTCAGGAAGATAAACACTTTGGGGTAGAGTCATAAGCAAGAATTTTCTGAATATAGGACAAAAGAAGTAGCAAAAGAAGTAACCCCCAAGAGTTGACCAATGAAATTATAAAGTTTATCACAGTGGAAAACAAAAACAAAAATCCGGTTAACAGAGCAAACAGCCCACAAAACAGAGAAAACCTTTACCAGCTATACTGTAAGCAAGGGGTAATAATTAGAATATATAAAGAGGTATAGATTCCCAACTACCAATCAGCAAACGAGCTAATAATTGGATAGTTCTTAAAAGAAGAAATGCAGAAGTTATTGGTTACTTGACCAATAAATATTTTTGAAAGTGCCCACCATCTTTTGCCTTTAGGGAAATGCAAATTATAAGTGCTTTGGGATTCCATCTTACCCCACTCAGAATAACTACTATCAAGAAAACAAATTACAATAAATCTGACAATGTGGGGCAAATGGAATTGTTACTTACTGTTGGGAGTGAAAATTGGTGTGGTCATGTGGAAGTAAGTGTGGAGGCTTCCCAGAAAACTAAAAGTAGAACTATCATGTGACCTTACTCCACCACTTTTGCCCACATACCCAAAGACGTGACATCCATATTTATTTATGCTCTGTTTATTTACAGTTACAAGGAAATGGATTCAGCTTAGATGTCTAGTGATAAATAAATAAAGAAAATATGGTACACCTGTGTGTTCAATAACATTTTTTTTTATTCATTGTAAAGAAAAATGAAATTTTCAGGGAAGTTGACAAAACTAGAAATATAGATTAAGTGAGCTAATCTAGGCCCAGAAAGAAATACCATGTGTTCTCTTTCATCTGCTGAGCCTGGCTTCTATTTGTTAAATGTAGGCATGTAGATGGATGGAGGTGTGGGGGAGACAGGGAATTAGAAGGGACTGGTCCATGGGATGAGAAAAGAAGAATCTGTCAGGAAGGAGTGTGGAGTGAAGTAGAGCAAATGTTCTATGAAAGAGGAAGCCAGGGAACACTGTTACAGAAGGATGCGGGGTGAGGGAGTGGATTGGGACAGGGCAGGAGAATCAACCCAAACTAAGGGATGCACTAAGGAAAACTGTTATTTTTTTAAATTAATTAAAAAAAAGTTACTGTAAAAATAGATATTTTTTTTAAAAATTGTACCTATGTATGGAAATGTGACATTTCTATGTGATGTTTTTACATTTTATTTTGAATCATGTGTAGAGTATGTACTTTTGTGTGGACATGTGCACAGACAATACATGTTCTTTACTACTGAGTCATCTCTCCAGCCCCTTTAAATGATCTTATATTCACTAGTCTGGTTTTATGCTTAATTATGTGGGTGTTTTGTTCATAATTTCTCACATTTTCCTCATAAATCTCTGTGTAGGGCTTTGTTTCTTCATTTTTACTTTGTATAGCTTTTATTTATTTGTCTTACCACACTGGTTGGCTTGGTGGTGATAGCAGATGCCCTAGTTATTTTAAGGTGGATTCTTCTGACACTTGTCCAATTTTGGGCTCTTTCGCCTCTTCTAATAAAAGACAGTTGGCAACAGGTGTTTTTTTTTTTTGTTGTTTTTTTTTGCTGGGGTTGGGGGAGTCTGTAGGATTTTGTTTATTTGGTCTTTTGTTTTTTTTTTTTTTTTTGAGGAATTTACTTTGTAGACCAGGCTGGCCTCAAACTCATTGAAATCCCACCGCCTTTGCCTCTTGAGTGCTGGAATTAAAAGCATGCACTACCACTGACTATCTGGGAGTCAGTAGTTTTATTTTACCGGAAATAAAAATTTACTGCTTGCTAAGAAAATAATATCAAAATCAAAAGACTAAAAAGACTATCTTGTCTTTATATGAAAAAGCAACCAAACAACCAGACAACGCACATTCAGTCTGGAGCCAGGACATAGCTAGGTGGTAGAATACTGGCCTAATATGAGCAAGACCCTGGGTTAGATCCCTAGTACTGTAAACACACACACACACACACACACACACATGCGTGCATGCACAGACACATACATGCACACATATAAAAATCTCTCTAAAAGTTGTCATAAGTGATCTGATGAGACAGCTCAGTGAGTACAGGTGCCTGCTCCCAAGCATTGATGGTGCTGAGTTTGATTTCCAGATCCACGTGGTAGGAGAGAACCAACTCTTGAAAGTTGTCCTCTGACCTCCGAGCTTGTACCATGGGTCATGCACACATACATGCTCGTGTTCTCTTCCCCTGCCCCCTCTTTCTTTCACACACAGAGTAAGTAAAAATGTTATAAAAATCATAAGTAGTGCTAACTGAAAAATAACAAAATTAGAAAGATTTGTGGCATACAGGAAAAGTGAAAATTTATTTTGCTAATATTACATAAAGAATCACCTCCCTACTAGAAGACTCATAACATAGTTACTTTTCTGTTGCTAAAAACCCCAACAGTAGCAAAAGGGGAGGGTAGGCTAGGCAGCGGGAACTTACTTGAAATAGCTGCTCAGGTTGTCCCCACAGTTGGAAAGCAGAGAGAGATACATGTTTGTGCTGGTCTCCTTTTTGTATAGTCTAGAATTGAAGCTCAGGGAACTGTGCTCCTTATTCATTGTGGTGTGGATCTTTTCACCTCAGTTAACGTCGATAGTCCTTCACCAGTATGCCTGGTATCTCGTCTCCTAGAGGATCCCAGGTCACTTCAAGCTGACAGTTAACACTAACCGTCACTTGTCAGTAAGATTGAAAAGAATGGCGCATGGGTTGATGTACCAAAGCATTCCGTTCACAGAATCAAAGAATATGTTACTTCACCAGGGATTGGAAAAAGGCAATGTGGAGAGTGTCCATAAGTTTTCAGTGAAGCAAGATGAATAAGCTGTAGAGATAGATGTAGTACAGCATTGAGCCCGCAGTCAACAGCAGCATTGTAGAGTCTTCAGATCTTTGTGAAGATACAGTTTATGTTAAGTAGTTTTACTTTTTGATCAACATGTGTCACTTTGGCCTCAAACTTGAGATACTCCTGCCTCAGTCTTCCAAATGTTGTGTATTGTAGGCATTTACTATTATGCCTGTTTTTGGTGTTTGTGTGTACATTCATGAGTTCCTGTATATGTATGTATGATAGCGAAGATTAAATTATAAAATTAAAAAGTTATATATAAGCACTTATTACATACTAGTACATGCTAATTAATGTTTGTAGTAATTAAAAATCATCTTGTGTTTTGATAGATTTTTGTGTTTTAAAATAAATTTTGTTTTTATTCCTGCTGATATAGTCTTCCCTCTCCCTTTAAGATAACTTCTGCTAAATTTTGAGATGTCTAGATTTTATTGTGGCTTATAAAAGAAAAGCACTGCCATGCTGATTTTCCTGGTAGGAATAAGCATAAATTAAACTACTGATAATTGTGGATTATTACCATAATTTTAAAATTTGAATTATAAGAGAATAAGGTGAATCCTAATTTGCTGAATGCAGATTCCTGAGAACCCTTACAGCTATTTTTAGCTGCTTGCAGGCTGCTCCATCTTTGCTAATTGAGGGGAAAGCTGATTTTGGGTGTTTTTTTTTGTGATCTTCCCAGCACATGCAGATGACAATCCAGGCTCTCCAGGATGAGCTGCGGATTCAGAGGGACCTGAACCAGCTGTTTCAGCAAGACAGCAGCAGTAGGACTGGAGAGCCTTGTGTGGCAGAGCTGACAGAGGAGAACTTCCAGAGGCTGCACACCGAGCATGAGCGGCAAGCCAAAGAGCTGTTCCTCTTGCGGAAGACCCTGGAGGAAATGGAGTTGCGAATTGAAACGCAGAAGCAAACCCTAAGTGCTCGGGATGAGTCCATTAAGAAGCTTCTGGAGATGTTGCAGAGCAAAGGGCTTTCTGCTAAAGCCACGGAGGAAGACCACGAAAGGACAAGGCGGCTGGCAGAGGCAGAGATGCACGTTCATCACCTAGAAAGCCTTCTGGAGCAAAAGGAAAAAGAGAATAATATGTTGCGAGAGGTGAGTGCTGCCTTCTCAGTTAGGATTTCCTGATTGTCTTTTTTCCCCTTATTAATCTGAATCTTGACCTAGATAAATTTATGTTGTGCTGCTGGCTAGTAATTTCATCTTTTGTATTTTAGTGCTTCACTGATTTCTTTCCTCTTGAATGGAATGACATCATCTGGCATATATGTCACTCAATAACTTCTCCACTCCTGTCACCCTCGATGTGACTCCTGGGGGCTCCTGAGTCACAGGAAGGATACAGGATTGTTGTAATTTGTTACTTGCCTCTCTGTTTGTTCATAGACACAGAACAGCAAAACCAGAGTCAGGGTAGCAACTATCACTGCTCAATTAAAAAATACTAGTAAAAGACAGTACACTGTTACCTCAGTTCACCTACGCTGGTGAAGCTGAAGCAGTAATAAATGTTGCCTGTTATTTTCCCGCAAACATCTGCCTTGTTGTGAAAGATACAAAAATCATTTGCCATGGAGGTTTAGACCGAAGGAGTGATGTAGAGACACACTGTTTTAGAGGAAACAGACTTAAGCTGGCTCTGTGATTAGACCTCACTTTCTGAGGCAGTCATTTTACAAAAGTGTAAAGAAAGAATTCATCTTACCTGGAGCCAATTTTAAAGCTGCAGTAGATTTTAGGGTTTCTATTGCTATGATAAAATACCATGACCAAAGGCACTTGGGGAGAAAAGGGTTCATTTTACTTAGTTTTTTTTTTTTTTTTTTATCATAGTCACTGAGGGAAGCCAGGACAGGAACTCAAGCAGGGCAGGAACCTAGAGGCAGGGGCTGAAGCAGAGGACATGGAGGGGTCCTGCTCACTAGTTTGTTCCTTACGGCTTGCTCAGCCTATTTTCTTGAGTACCCGCAGACCAACATCCCAGGGATAGCACCACCCACAATGGGCTAGGCCCTCCTACATTTATCACTGATTAAGAAAATACACTACAGCCTTGCCCACAGGCCAATCTGGTGGGGCATTTTCTCAGTTGGGGTTCCTTTTTTCCAGAATGACTCTAGCCTGTGTCAAGTTGACATAAAACTAGCCAGGATTTCTGGTTAGACATAAAATTCTTTTTAGCTCCCCTGGGATTCATGACACATACTACCATAACCATCTAGCTTGTGCATTTTGTACATGGGGGAGAGGAGTGTGGAATCCTCAAATTGTTAGGATGAGTCTGAATAATCCCTTTTTAACATGATTTGGGAAGAAGGAAATTATTTTTTTTTTGAAATTTTGTTTTTGAAAAAATTTTTTTTGAAAAAAAGCAAACATACTCAATTGTGTAAAAGGAGTTCTTAATTGGTCTAATTACTAAAAACTCAGAGTCAGATATAGAGGAAATTGCTGAGAGATCACAGAGAAGGAACAAGCCATAGCCACACCTTAGCTTATCAGTAGGAGAGCAAGTTCCTGTTTCTCCCTGCTTATATCCTCTCTCTATCTAGCCATCTCCTTCCTGTCTGCCTGTACAGTCCTCCAGACATCTATGGTTAGCTAGTGGCAAGCTCCATTTTCTGACCTCCAGACAGCTTTATTTGTACAAGCAAGACATGACCATACAACGGGGCATGGTAGAGCAAGCCTTTAATCCCAGCATTTGAGAGACAGAGGCAGGTGGATCTCTGTGAATTAGAAGCCAGCTTGGCTTCTAATTGAGAGAATGTCTCAAACAAACAAAATCACCCAAGAAATTTAGCAACAACAGTAGCAAAAACTATGAAGCTGCTGGGTGTGGTGGTACATGCTTTTAATCCCTATATAGACCTGAGTCTGAATAATCAATCTTCTTTTAACATGATTTGAGAGAAGGAAATTAAAAAACAAACAAATTCAATTGGGCATTGTAGAGCATGTCTTTAATCCCAGTACTTGGGAGACAGAGGCAGGCAGATCTGTGAGGCCAGTCTGGTCCACAGAGTGGGCTCCAGGATAGCCAGGGCCACACAGAGAAACCTTATATTGCAAAAACAAAACTAAAAAAAAAAACTGTGAAGCTCTTTAAAAGTAAAAATGGTAGGTGTATATAGGGAAAAATTATGGATCAAATATACATTTGGTGATATCTTTTTTATAATCATAATTTCCTGCTTTTGGAATATTACATTTTTGCTCTTTCTAAATATTTCAGTCTATTCCAGTAGTTTAGGAATTAATAAATGCCAGATAGCTAAGGACTATGGGAAGCCACAATTTTTGGGGGCTGTGAAAATTAGAAATATATTCAGCTAAAAAATACTGGAAAAACCTGAGTTCTAGACTTTTAAAAAGATAAATTGTATAAATAAGTTATTTACATGATATGGGAAAATATATCTCCTTGTACATATACCACCAAACAGTTCAACCTGCCATTTATAGCTTAATATCTTACAGGAATTATAGTCATGCTACTTAAAATTGCTTGAGGGCCAGTGGACACAGTGGCTATGGAAATGCTTATTATTTGTTTTCTTTCTTTTTTAAAAATCTTTTTTAAATTTTAAAACAATCTTTTCTTATTTTACATCCAATCCCACTTCCCATTTTGTCCCCTCCTCATGTTCTCCCCACCTTCCTCCCAATCCCCACCCCCTCCTCAAAATTGGGTAGGGCTTCCCGTGGGCAGTCAATGTTACTTCAAAAGTTAGCTCACAAGTCTGTTCTGCAGTGAAGTCTCCATATATAGTGTTGTATGTACTTGCAGTAGCAATGATCACATTACTGAAATCATACATGTGTGTTTCTTCCATGCTCACTTGTTTTACACCAAGTATATATATTTTCTGTCTTTGTTTAGGTTAGTGTAACAAAAATACTGTAGATGCTTGTTTCTCATAATTCTGGACATTGGGATTCCAAGACCAGGGCACCAGTGTCCGGTGAGGACCCACTTCTTAGCTTTTGGACGGCACTCTTCCTGCTGTGTCAGATGGTAGGAAAGAGCAAGAGAGTCCTCTAGGGTCCTTTTAGTAAGGAATGAGATTGTCCTTAAGAACTAATTACTAAGCAAAGAACCCATCCCCTGAAACTATTTTGTTGAGAATTTAGGATCTGAGTGTGTGAGTCAGAATATCCAAATCACTTTTCCTTTTGTAGACAGACTCTTACTAAGTAGCCTTGGCTGTCCTTGGACTCCCCCCCCCCCCCCCCCCAAAGCCCCAAGGATGTGAGATAAAATTTACCACCAGACCAAATAAATGCTTAATAAATTAAGAACTGAATGATAGTTTTATAGTCTGGTAAAGTAACAGTACAGTGAATGTATATTAGAAAGCGTTCTTACTAATGACATTGAAGCTAGCAAGAGGTGCAGATGGTTGTGCTGAGTGGTGTTTAATAGTGTGGTAGTTTGAATGTAATGGCCCCCATAATCTCATAGGGGGTGGCCTGTTAGGAGGTATGGCCTTGTTGGAGGAAGTGTGTCACTGTAGGGGCAGGGTTTGAGATTTCCTATACTCTGGATATTGCCCAGTGAGTCAGTCAGTTTTCTGTTGCCTGTGAGATGTAGGACTCTCTGCTGTTCCTCCAGCACCATGTCTGTTTGCATGATGCTATGCTCCCGCCATGATGATAATGGGCTGAACCTCTGAAACTGTAAGCCAGTCCCCAATTAAATGTTTTCCTTAATAAGAGTTGCATGGTCATAGTGTCTCTTCACAGCAATAGAAACCCTAACTAAGGCAAACAGTGTTCTTGAAGTTTTGTCTATTTATCTCAATTAGATGAGGGAATGGAATAAATATTATCTGTAATGGAAAAGATGGGACTTGTTTTCATTATTGCAGAAACTAATATTTCTTAGTGTATCTATACTGGGAGAGACTTATGTAGGTAGATCATGACACATGTATTTTTAATCCACTGGTGGTATATATCTGTAATATCAGGACTTAGGAGACAGTGACAGAATTTAAAGTTCAAGGCCAGTCTGATCAAGGAAAACAGAATAGAATCTAGAAATAATGCTCTGTTAAGTAGATGATATTTTGGGATAATGACTGTCATTTAGAAAATGTCTAGTTTTGTAAAATTAAGTTTTAAGTGAAGTAAAGAACTACTTAAAAAGAGACATTATAAGAGAATGTAAACAAAAATTTTATTCGATATAGTCTTTGAATGAAAGATTCACTGCTATAGCAAGAATATTAGTAAATAAGATATGTATATTAGAGGATATAATTAACACAGATGAAGTGATGATGTGAGCACAGATTTTAACGTGCACCCCGACCTTACCCAGATTAGTCTCTAAAGCAGTGAGAGACTAGAGGTGCTTGCTCCTACTTTGTCCTTCTTATTTATTCCCTTATTCAGCAGTTACTAGTTAAGCCCTTAGTGTGTATTTGATCTTGCAGATCAAATGGAGGTAAATTTGTACTGTTGGTGCCCTTCTAAGACCCTCAGACTTGAACTGGAGGGTTGGCTCTTGGGTGAAGAGTGCTTTCTGAGCTCTCACTTCACTCAGCACACCTGAGAGTGTGTGACATGCCTGCCATCCACCGGCTTCTCAGACTTAGTAAATGACAGCAGTAAAATTACATTTGTGGTATTACTAATTACAATTTTCTGTTTCATTTATGAACATGATTCTGTATACTCCACCTAAGTTAAAACTAAAATTTTGATGAAGTACTACAGTTTTTGTTGTTTGACTTGCTATTTTGTGCTGTACTGTCCCTTTCCTTTGATAGATGAGTGAGGACATCTGTTGGACAAGTAGTAAATTACATGCCATATTTGGTTTTGGAAACTTGGAGCTAGCTGTAACAAACTTTGCCTGTTACTGCTATTCAGCAAACTCCAAAACTAAACTATGATTCTCTCTCGGTGTCTTGACTGAAGATATTGATGTTGGCTATGGAATTTTAAGAAAATCTTTATTACTGTGTATACAAAGCATTGCAACTCAATAATATATTTCAGACCTCTTTGGCTCTTTTTGGATGGTTTTCCCTATTTTGTTTTGTTTTGTTTTGAGATGAAGTCTGGCTGTTTAGCCCAGGCTGGCC